CAACGACACATATATAAAGATCAGTCCTAAATGTAACTGTTAATGCCAAGAACTCTTTCTTGAGTGTTAGCATGAATAGTTTTCTGAAAGTTCATTTCAATGCACAGAATGTTAAGAACTATTAAGAAAGTGATAGACAATAAGACTAAATATCATAATGCCACTATATAAATCCATGGTGTTCCCACACCTTGAATAGTGTATCCAGTTTTGATTGTCTCTAAGTCAGAAAAACATATAGTGAAACAGTAAATATTTCAGAGAAAAGCAGCAAAGACCCATCAAGGTACAGAACACTTTTCATACAAGGACTGACTAAAAAGATTAGGGCTTCTTAGCTTAGAAAAGAGATGATTGACAGAGAGGATATGATAGAAGACTATAAAATCATGAATGGGGTGGAAAAAGTGAATGGTGAAGTGTTACTTACCCTTTCCCACAATATAAAGATCTGGGCTTACCCACTGAAATGAATAGTGGCAGATTTAATACAAATGCTTTTTCTACAGAAAGCACAATTAGTCTGTGGAGCTCCTTGCCATGGGATGCTGTGATGGCCCAAAAGCATAACTGAATTAAAAAAAGAACTAGATACTTTAATTGAGGTGATGGAGCATAGGTCCATCAAGGACTATTAGCCAAATCTCATGATGTCAGGGCTTTATGCATGATTTTATATGCTTGGGTTTGGCAACATGCTGGTAATGGTCCCTTGATTTGGAGTTGCCATGTCACATTTAGTGCTCTGGAAACCTCACACCAGTGGAGGATTGGGCATTGGTTTGCTTTATCCTGCATCTTATCCAGCCCACATTATGCCCCTGAATGTTGGGGCTGCCAGTGCAGGAGGCCTCTTCCTCCAGACAATCCCTGCACCAGGGAAATGCTCCACGGTCTAGCCTTAGAACTGTTATTACCCCTCATCCCACTCTGTGTTTCTTTCTCCCCGTCTTAGTCTACATGGCTTATCAGCAATGGTGCTATTACACATGTAGTTGGCCATAGCAGGAACGCAGATGCTCATGGACCCAGCCATGCAGATCTTTCATCTTTAGGGGTCAGCGTCAGGAATTACACAGATGTTGTGCAGAATGAGAGAGTGAGAAAAAAGAGAGAAGAAATCATCCCCAGGGCATAAAGGCCAGGGGCAGCCCTAGACTAGCTGCCAGCAACTGACGCCCTAGGCAAACCATGCAATTGACGCCCCCACCTCCAAACTCCTCAATGATATTGCGCCACCATTTGGTGCCCCATTTAACTTGGCGCCCTAGGTGACCGCCTAGTTTGCCTATATGGATGGGCCACCCCTGATAAAGGCGTTTTCCTGCTGGGCCCCTTATCAGTCATATTAGCATCTAAATTAGAGGTGCAATGAGAAACTTCCCATATATGGCTTTTATAAAATGGAAGCCCTCCACAACCTCCCTGGGCAATTTATTCCAGTGTTTGACTACCCTGACAGTTAGGAACTTTTTCCTAATGTCCAACTTAAACCTCCCTTGCTGCAGTTTAAGCCCATTGCTTCTTGTTCTAGCCTCAAAGGCCAAGATGAACAAGTTTTCTCCCTCCTCCTTATGACACCCTTTTATATACCTGAAAACTGTGATCATGTCCCCCCTCAGTCTTCTCTTTTCTAAACTAAACAAACCCAATTCTTTCAGCCTTCCCTCATAGGTCATGTTCTCTAGACCTTTAATCATTCTTGTTGCTCTTCTCTGGACCCTCTCCAATTTCTCCACATCCTTCTTGAAATGCAGTGCCCAGAACTGGACATAATACTCCAACTGAGGCCTAACCAGGGCAGAGTAGAGCGGAAGAATGACTTCTCGTGTCTTGCTCACAACACACCAGTTAATGTATCCCAGAATCATGTTTGCTTTTTTTGCAACAGCCTCACACTGCTAACTCATATTCAACTTGTGGTCCACTATAACCCCTAGATCCCTTTCTGCTGTACTCCTTCCTAGACAGTCGCTTCCCATTCTGTATGTGCGAAACTGATTGTTCCTTCCTACATGCTACAGTACTATAAATGATATCAACAATCTATACTGAATCTGAAGGGCACTGTATCTGGATTCCCATATACCTGCATTTTATTTGTATTTTATCCAAGGGACATGTTCAGGATCTTGCCTATTGCAAGGTCCCTCTCAACCCTCTCAACTTTCTAGACACCATGAAGTGTAGACAAGATCTCCAACTGCACAGCAAATGGGTCACAATGCAAAGCAGTCATTTTATCGCCTTCTCCACATGCATCATCTAGAAAATGGAAAATCCCCTGCTCCTGCCCTCTGGTTTCATGATTAACTTTAATAGGAGTGGGTCCCAAAGGACTGGCGTGTTATAAATATATCCCCAAATAATGATGGCCTGACATATGTTCATAATAATAAATAATACTAATAATTAATATTAATCAGATGCCAACTCATTAAACAGAAGAGTTATGCAGAGTTAGCATTCACAAATAAGTACATGTATACATCAGCAGGTCTGAACTTTATTTCCTCCTTTTTCTGACCTGCTCAGGCCTGAATTCTGGCCTCTATCTTTCCCTTGCCCCACCCACTCCTAATATAGTGAAAGGAACCAAGCTCCTTTCTCTGCTGTAGTGGTTAGTGATGTTCACTGCTGTGGAAGGAGAAAATGGAACCTCCAATTTAGGACTTGGCAGGCAACTGCATTTTAGTTCACCTTCAAAATGTATGCATTTTTCATTTCTACATCTACGTGTGGTTTCTGTTAATGATCTGAAACCCCCACCAGGTTTTTTTAAATATCTATATAAAGCCCTCTGTGTTTTTACACAAAAAGGGGAAGTGTTTTCTCTGAGAGGTCCTGAGGATGTGTTAGTTAATGTCTGAAGATGCAAAGGGCTAGATAATTGCTCATTATGATCATTATATTGAGACTACAGGTAGTGTGTTGAGCACCTTCTGAAATATTTAAAGTATGGCAATGTACAGATCTTTGGAAAGAAGAGCAAGCCATTTAATCCAAAAGGAAGTTGGTTCAGAGGAGGGGGGAAGGAATGGGAGTTAAGGAGGTTGGAGATGGTTTATATAACCAATCAAGCTGCAGCCAGTCCTGAACTGTGCACAGTTAATAGGATTATTATTTCCTTTCTGGTCTGGAATCATCGAGACAGACTAAAGACAGAATACTATAATGTCGTAGCCATGGAGTCACTTTTCTAACAGTGTAGCTGCAATTGGAAGACTAATTTTTCTCCCATTTGTGCTGTAAATCTCTACATGAGCTTAGTAAGGTTGCCTTGGTGCTACTGAGATATGGTCCTAAATCTGCATGATCCGTTTCCTGACTCCCCAGCATTAAAAGATTTTTGTCTGGGAGTTTTTCTCTAACATTCTGATATTTTCAGTATTCCATTTTTATCCCCCTCCAAGCTCCCTCGCTCTTGATTCTAGAATAGCAAAGACAGATGGCAATCAGGCAGCCAGCCCCAAAATATAAAAGCAAAAATATGCCCCTAGGTCAAAAAGTGCGCATCTGAGGACAATATGTAGCTCTATGTCTGCAAGTGACATTTTCCTCAATTAATTTTAGCATCAGAGCAGGAAATGAAAGGGTGATGCTTACTGTAAATTTCTTTCTCCCCTCCACTGCGGGTGTCTGATGACGCACACCACTGCTCTTCCCAGAGCGGGCTATTTCTGTCATGTCATAGATCAGTTTGGGTCTGTTCTGTGTGCCTATGATAGTTACAGGACAAAGCTGCTGTGGCCTTGAGCAATTTTGTAGATTTTGGACAGAGATAAGTTAAAAGTGGCTTCAGCTGACATTGCTATGAAGCATCAAAACACGAGGCTGGGATGCTGAGCAGTCAAGCTGGGATAGTCTGACGCAGTAAGAATTTCAACAATAGGGGACGTAATTTTAAGTGTCTCTCAGAAACACACATAAAAAATCCACAAACCCACACCTCAGAACTGCCTTCAGATTACCTGGCAGCCAAATGAGGTGTATGTGCTTCGTATGAAGTTCAGCAACATTGCGGCGGGTAGTATTCCAGTTGAACTCTGAAGTCAGCTCATAATCTCAATATAATCCAAGTGCACCTTAAAAATACAAGCTTAGATATTTTATCATGAAATCCTGTTTCTTCCAAGTGGGTGAGATTGATCTGATTTTAAATTGTACTAGTGGGCTATATTCTCAAATGGGGTAAATAGGTGTAGTTCTATTTATAGAAATCACATCAGCTGAGGCTCTGGACACCTGGATTAGGGCTGGTATACACAGGACCAAGGGAGGAGGTCTAAACCTTTTGCTGTGGCATGTAGACATCTGCTTTACAGTATCACCCTTTAGCTGATTCATCACATTCCAAAATCTCCAGCCCACATATTACAGAATCCAGACAGACTTTTGTGTGAGACAGCCTTACACTCCCGACATGATTACACACTCATTCTCTCTCCCTGTCTCCTGTCTTCCAGTCACATCAAATCAAACACTGCATGAGCATCCACCAGCTTAATGAGTCTCCTTACCAACCCACTTCAAGTTCCCGTAGCCATCAGACTTCACAGGGGTTGCCCATCACCCATTCAGACATGATATATTTCTCCTGTGGCATTGACAATGGAGCCTGTTCCTGAGAGAACACCAGGAAGTTCAGCCTCATAATGCTGACCCGATTTTCAATGATGGCCTCTCCCCCTGACTGCAGAGGCAGTTGGTGGTGCTCAAAACCTCTGAAAAACAGGCTGTGATTGTACAAATTGCTTTCTTTGGCCAGGCCCATTCTCTTTTTTTTTTTTTGCCGCACTTTAAACCAATCAACCCAAAATTGAAAAAGAACAAGGGAGTGTAGGAAACAGGTGTTTCCTCCGTTGCTCATGAGAGGCTTTGCACTGGCTTCTTCCTAAACCTGAGCAGATGGTTGGGAGACTCCTTTCCCCTCCCTTTCTGAATCCCATTCTGACACACACCCAGCTCCTGGGTGCAGGGCCTTGTCAGCAGATCATGGCTCATGTCACTGCAGCGTGAGATCAGCCACCTGGAACCTTACAGGTCTATTCTGATACGTTGTTCAGTCTGGCCAGTATGGGTGTGTTGTTTTTTTTCTTTTGCTCCTGCCTCTGACATCATTTCCTGAGCAGCAGATTCGTTTAGCCGTATAGCCAGATCCTGTTCTCAACAGACGATGCAAAAAGCTCCTTAAAATGGATTTCAAATCACCTTTTACTCTGCAATGTGTGCTGGTGATAATAACCATGATTGATGGTAAGTGTGGGGTTTTCTTTATGAAACTGGCGTGGATTCACCTAGGTGAGCAGAAATGTTCATTTTGCTCAGATACCTTTGTAAGGTCACCACTGGGCTATGGAAAGCATCAAGAGTTGTAATTGCTAACGCATGAAAAGGGGCCGTCAGATCAAAGTAAGACAGATTTTTTTATAAACTATCTGTAACTAACCAGGCATTATAGCCTTGATGTACGCAGCTATGAAAGCACCTGAAAAAGATAGCCATGGAGGCTTTGTATGTGGTTTGCTGGTTAAATCAGGAAATGGCAGTTTGGGATTCAGCTCTCCTTATGACCTTGGGTATGTCATTTAGCAGTAGCTCCTACATCCCTCCACTATGGAAAAGGACAGTGTGAGTCTTAATTGATTCATGTTTGCAAAAGCTTTTGAGATCCTCAGATGAATGGTGCTATATTGGTGTAAGTTATTTTTACTACCATACGTACGCTCATGTAATTCACAAGCAGGTGCCACTTTGCCTTTTGAGAGTTGGATTCCCTATACACTGTCTCAGCTCTAAGCTCTGAGGAGGCGGAGCTGCTGGAGGTAGGAACTTAAGAGGGAAAGAAGAATTTTTCTTCTTTCCAGGACCAGATATAGAATGACACTTACTGTAACAAGAGTATATGCTTGCAGAATGTGGCAAAGAAAGATAAAGGAAAGTATGAATTTGAACTTAACCACATTCTCATGAAATCTTTCTTACTGTAAGTGTCCGGTAAGTGTCCCTTGTTTGGAATCCATTATTGTTGAATCTGAGAGCTTAATTGAAGGATCAGGTGTCCTATTCTTTCCAAGATGCCACTTTGGTTCTCACTAACTGGATTAGCAGCCCTAGGTTGCAGGTTTTCAGCTCTGCAGAATGCCACAGTGTAGCATGCAAATAAAAAGATATTTTCTGCACCCATATTGCCAAAGTATCATATCCGTTGAACCCATTGGGAGTGTAAAGGTACCAGGAGAAGATGCCTCCCTCCCCCCGCCCACATTTCAAAGATAGTAGTGTACGTTGTGTGTTTCTGGAAAGCAGATTTTAGGCACAGAGTTATGAAAAATGTTACTGGCAGGAATACTCATGGGTGCAATGTATTTTAGGTGACTATTATAGATAAGAAAATATTCAAGGAAAGTGATTTTTGAGATTGTGAATATGAATATTCATGTCAGACACCTATTTTATAGTCAAGGGACAGAAATATCCCGGGTGACCTGTGGGTCTCGTCCACACTTTACCTACCAAGCTTCAATTATAGAAAATAATCTATTGTAATGGGTCAAACTGATGGAGACACAAATTTATTCACTTGGGAAACTTAAAATGATCTGGGATTCATTTATTTAGTGTAAAGATCCCTTTTAATAACCTCACTAATGCTTCTTTATTTTTGAAATAAATCATTTTCAACAAAAAATATAAAAAGACCATTATATTAATGTGAAACATAAGTACATTTGAAATTTAAATAAACGTCATGTCTCTTTAGGGATATTTGAGAGAGGCCTGATAAGCATAATGAGTACAATTTAAATTTCAAATGCTTTCAACAAACTACAAGCTACAGGTCAGAAATTATTCAAAGAGTTTATGTAACAAATAATTTTGAATACAGAATCTGGAAAAATTCGAAAGAAATGATGATTTGCAGGCAATATGCCTACATCTAGTTTGCAATGCTATTTCGGGAGCCATTATTTTGGGCTCACTATTCCAACATCCCTGTAAACCTCATTATACGAGGAGTAAGGGACGTTTTAGAATAGTGCTTTATTTTGAAATTTGGTGCTGTAGACAGCGCCAAATGACAAAATAAGCTATTTTGAAATACCATTGAAATAAGATACACAACTACGCAAATTGTGTATCTTATTTCGAGTTACAGTGCAGTGTAGACATACTCTAAATGAACCGAAAAGGTGAGGAGTAAATTATTGCCTATTGTTTGCCCAGTTCGGGCTTGATTCAATTCACCTTGAAGAGTACAATATACATATTCATTTATAATTTCTATTTATGATGCTGTGAAATAAAAGGTTTGAGATGACCAAATAATTATGTTCACAAGAGGTCTCCAAGATTAAGGACTGTTGGTATGATGGAACTACTGTTCTTTTGGAAAGAGTTTTAATCAATATCTCATGTGGATTCAGGTAAATAGTTAATTGAATTGATCAGCAACAGAAAAATGTGGGCACATCCGGAAATCAACAAAACAAAGCCAGGATTACTTTCATCTGACAGATTTTCTTCCCAGAGGTCAATCAACCTCTGCATCATTTGCTTCAGTGATATTAGAGAAACTCGAATGGAATTCAAGAGAATAATAGCCAATAGCTTGGACATCAGAAGTATTTCAGGGAATAAATGACATTAGATATTCATCTATATACAGTGATATTTAGTCGCATGCACAGGGTTGATTGGGTCACTGGATATGGGGTGAAATATCCCCATATTCTCCTGTTGCGTATTGAGCAGGACCTTGGGAAGCTTCTGTCCTCTCTTGGAGCATTGTGCAGCCTACCCATTAGAATCACATGGGAGTATCCCGCAAATGATCTCTTGGAGTAGCTGGGGAGCTGATAGGCGCTGCTAAACTGAAGGAGGAGGAACCAGCCTTGGTGAAGCTGCAAGAGGGGGCAAGGGAGTAGTTCTCAATCTGTTTACCATTGTGGGCCACAAATGCAGTTTTCTATGTGTTCTGAGGGCTGCATCCACACTCTACATATACTGCTCGTATGGCCTTTAGGATGTCACATGAGCCTCAGCTGGGTGGTAGTTGGGCCGCAGGTTGAGGATTGCTGGACTAGGAGAAAGAACTGTGTCATGGAAGAAGATGGAAATTGGCAGGATGGCAGGGTTATGACAGGTTCTAGTGGGATTTCAGATGAATGTCTCGGTGTTGGTGACATTGCAGCCATTGGAAATCTCATTCTTTTATTTCTGTGCAAACAGGTAGCAAATGCTGCTGTGGTCTGTGTCTGGATGACAGACATGCCCACTTTGGTTCATCTCAGTGTTTGGTTAACTTGTCTCTGTTCTCTCTCCTGTTTTCATGACACCCATCTTGTCTGACAAGAGTCAACCCAAATTCCAGCTGTTCATATCCGCTGCCTACCTGGTGGGGGAGGAGAATTAGTCTGTAATGCACTTGACAATTCCAGTGTCAAAGTTGATTGGAGTGTGGATGGACACCCTTTGAACCCAACTGAGGCTTGCATTACGGATAATGGCAAGAAGATTATTTTGGAGAAACGGGTGACTGGAGAGCTTGTCTGTCATACTCACCATGGAAACAGCACCAGCAAGAGTTCCCCTATAAAGCTGTCTTGTGAGGAAGGTAAGTGATGGCCACCACAGTTTATCTTGCTTTTTGCCCCCTTTTAGGGCAGGGCTGTGAGAAGTTGTCAGTGCCTGTATCTACATGCAAGGACAAGTACCTTTCCACTTCCCCTCCTCCGTCTTTGCCATCCCCCTGCAGCTCTGCATCCAGGTCCTACTATGTATTAGGGACGTTAGCTATCATGTAATTGAATAGTTGTGTAAACTCATGAAATCTTAGTAGTTACATAATTATTCAATAGTCCCTGGAGGCGGGGCCAGCAGCCTGTGTGCTCCTGGCCCCAATCCCAGGAAACCTTCTGCCACCCCACACTGCTGCCTCTCCATCAGTTTAAAAAGCAGCTCCCCATGCAGACCAGCTGCCTGCCAGCCCATGCTGCTGCCTCTGATACAGAGGCAGCAGTGTGGGGTGGCAGCCGTCCCTGTCCACGGGGAGCTTGAATCCCCATGGATGAAGACTGCTGCTACAGAGCAGCCACTGTCTGCGGCGAGCCTGGGCCATTGTGGACAGAGGCTGCTTTGTGGCAGCCTTCCCTGCCCCCTCTCCACCTATGCTGCTGCCTCTCTTAGAGGCAGTAGTGTGGAGACAGCAGCGGAGGGGAGGGGGAAAGGTGGCACCACAGAGCTGGTGCTGGGGGGGAACTGGCTTTTAAGCTGGCTCCCCGCAGCACCGACTCCTGCCTGCTCCCCCCCTTCTGCACATTTTTATGTTTTACAGGGTCCCTGGCCAGAGCATCTATCTCTGTAGGGGGCAGGGAGGGGGAGGGCCGAAGGTGGGTCTGCAGAGCTGGCACAGGCAAGGAGTCTGCTTGAAAGCTGGCTCCCCGTGTGTATCGGCTCTCACTTGCCCCCTCGCTCTCTGTGCTGCTGCCTCTCTATCAGACAGCGTGGAGGAAGGGGATCTGGTGCTCATGGTGAGTCTGCTTAAAGCCAGCTCCTGATGAGCACTGGCTCCCGCTCCCTGCTCCCCCCTGCTTCTTATACAGAGGCAGCAAGGAGTGGGGGAGAGTGTGTGTAGTCGACATGATTAAGCGGTAAGCCCAGGCGTGTCGGTTAATTGTGTAATTGTCTACACACTGACATCCCTACAATGTATTTTCCAAACTGATATGGGCCATCCCCACTGACAAGTCGTACGTATCTGATACCAGCTGGTGCTCCATCCAGGACGCGGGAACCTGCCCCTCTCTACATGGGGCTCCAGCCAAACCAGGGGGTGGTGCCAGAGGCTTCACTTGCCCAGCACTTGTACCAAGGAGTGAATTCTGCTCCCTGGCAGGAGCGGCTGGTGGGTATAGTAGGCAAGTACCCTATCCTGCTCTATAGCTGGGAGCGCAGGGCAGGGGGAGCAAGATAAGCCCCATAGCCCACTCCATGGCTGGGATTATGGGGCGGGCAGGTGGGGGAGTGGAGCAAGCCCCTGATTCTGCTCTGTGGCTCGGAGCATGGGGCAGGGGAAGTAGGGCAAGCCCCATATTTCACTCTGCAGTTGGGAGCACGGGACAGGGGAATGGGGCAAGCCTCCTGATCGCACTCTGTGGCTGGGAGCACTGGGCAGGCGGGAGGAGCAGAGCAAGCCCCAACCTTGTTCCCTGGGCCCAGCTGGAGCACTGGGCAGGCAGGGGAAGCCAGACAAGTCCCCAATCCCACTCACGAGACTGGAGCGCCTGCTAGGTGGGCGGAGTCGAGCCCATGCACCTGAGGTGGGAGATGGGTGAGGGATGTTGGGGTGCATATTTTATGGGTTTCCTGGCCAGAGCATCTATCTCTCCCCCCCCCTCCAAGCCTAGCTGGCATTGGGTAGAGGGGGCCAATCACTCCTATCCCCATCATTTCCCCGCCACTCAAAACTGGGGCTCATCCATATGTGCCATTCTGGCTACCCCACAATCAAAAACCAGGGGTAACTTCCTACTCTGATCTACCTTCCTCACTCAGACATCCAGCACCTCACCAAACAAACCAGTCCCTGATGCCATCATTCTTTGGCTCTTGGACTCAGCTATCGTATGGTGCTTTGTTGTGTTACCTGGGGCAGCTGTACAGAATTGGCAAGAAGATTAACCAGCTCATAAATATCACCACAGCCTCCCTCACTGTTAGTGTTGGGCAAAAAATTTACCACAATTTATTTACTTAGAATCAACCTTTACCCTGGTTGCACATTGTCTGTAGACTCTGATTTCATTCATTCATTTACTGTTTGCAATTGATGTCTCCTTCATGAGAATAAATTTCATCCGATGGTTTTATTACAAACTGTTTGGTGACGGCTCAATCAAAAGCCAACGGATACAGTTGGAAACACTCCCATTGATAAGAATGTGTTGTGGATTAAGCCCTGTGGTAATTAATGCAGGGAGTTGACAAGCATCCTTCAGTGTATGCACTGTAGGGCCACATCAGTTCCAGAGTGTACTCTCTGTTCCTTATTTCCAGATCACAAACCCCTCAAGGAATTTCATGTGCATACACTGCCGTTGTGAAAAGCTGTATGAACACATATTGGCATGAGTATTAGCACCGTTTGGGGAACTGGTGACACTTTTGCTCTCTGAGAACAAATATTACTTCACTCTAATGTTTGTGAACAGTGTGTAAATAGGGTTTCCAATACCACTGCAGAGAATTTTAATGTTTTAAATGACCGATTATTTTTTCTGTATTCTTCCCCCTCTAATCACCATGATGATGACACTAGTTAGAAAAGGGCTGATGATATTCTACTTACCTGCCAGAAACAAATTACTTGCTCTAGGCAAATGGACAAATGCAGTTTTTGTAAGGCTGAGAATGCATCTAAATACACTGAGCATTGGATAACTTAATGGCAGCTGAAAGTCATCCTTCGTAATTGTTAACATAAAATGCATTGACTAAAATAATTTAAATTTTTCAGGAATACCAAAGGATTATGATCATGTGGGATCTAAAATAAATGACTTGGGAGTTATAAGTAGCTTGATAAAGATGTCTGTTCAGTGTGCAGAAGAAGTTAAAAAACTAAGAAGATGCATAGGACATTTGAAAGGATATTAATTATTGTTGTTATTTCAAATACTTTGAATAGTGTTTGATCCCCGTGGAGAAAGATGCTGTGAATAGATAAATTGACTAGACAGAGAAGCTAGCTAACCATAAAAGATAGCTACAAAAATTACTGTAGTTATCAAGACAAGCTGACTAGTGATACAGGTTGCCAGACACACTTAGTTAGAGGTAAGAGAATACAGTAGTACAGTGGTCCCCAACCTTTTGGGGCTGCCGGGCACCCGGGGCGGGGCTATTCACGTGCCGGGCACCTGCGGGCGGGGTCATACACACACCCGGGGGCGGGGCAACCCATACGATGCACACCTGGTGCTGGCGCCACCCATGCGCCGCACTCCCGGGGCCGGTGCCAGTGCCAGTGCCGGTGCCAGCGCCGCTCCTGCACTGCACACCCAGAGGTGGGCCTGCCCATGCGCCAGGGCTGGAACAGCCCATGTGGGTGCCAGCACCGCTCCTGCACTGCACACTCAGAGGTGGGCCTGCCCATGCGCCAGGGCTGGAACAGCCCATGTGCCACACACCTGGGGACGGGGCCGCCACCGCCCATGTGCTGCATGCCTGGGGCCCCAGGGCCAGTGCTACCCCTGTGCCGTGTGCCCAGGGGCTGGCACCACCCATATGCCACTCGCCCAGGGCTGGCACAGCCCTTTTGTCACGCACCCGGGGGTGGGGCTGCTGAAACGCCACGCGCCCGGGGCCGGTGCTGCCCATGTGCTGTGTGCCTGGGGGTGGTGCTGCTCCTGTGCCACGGGCCCGGGGCCAGCACCGCCCATATGCTGTGTGCCCGGGGCCGGCACAGCCCTTGCACTGCGCACCCGGGGGCAGAGCCACCCAAACGCTGCGCACCCATGTGCTGCACACCCGGCGACCGGGCTGCCCACGTGCTGTGCACCCGGGGGTAGGGCCGCCCATGTGCTGCGTGCCCGGGGCCGACACTGCCCATTTGCCGTACACCCAGGGGGCCGGAACTGCCCATGCGCCATGCGCCAGGGGGCGGGGCCAGCCTTGTTCACTCAGCGGGCACACAGAAATGGCCCGGCGGGCACCATAGCGCCCACGGGCACCGCGTTGGGGACCACTGCAGTAGTAGATAAAAAAGGAACCAAGTGATAATAAAACCAGTGGTTCAAATCTAACCCTGGTGCAATTCCCTTGACTTCAATGAATTTATACTAGGATAAAATATGGCTCCATTAATTGATCATATTTGTAAGCAGAGTGTTTTCCTTTTGAATGTCCTAAGTTGGTCTGTAAGTCTATTGCGCCATCTGCCTGTGTTTCTGTTAATTTCTCTCTACCTCTCAGAAGTAAGTTCAGTTCCTATCTAAATTTGCATCGCTGACAAATCCCCAGGTGCTAGATAATATTTACCAACCTGCATAGCTATGTCTAAACTGCAACACTATTTTGGGATACCAGAGTATACTGGACTAGGTATCCCGCGTCTTCACAGAAAGCCTGTTATTTTGGGCTCGCCATTCCGACATCCCTGTAAACCTCATTCTATGAGGAGTAAGGGATATTTCGGAATAGTGCTTTATTTTGAAATTTGGCACTGTCTGACAAAATAAGCTATTTCGAAATATCATTGAAATAAGATATGCAATTTGCATAGCTCAAATTGGGCATCTTATTTTGAGTTACAGTGCTGTGTAGATGCACCCTCTATGACCTTCTGATGGGCCATGTGTGGTCTGTGTCTCATGCTGATAACTTCATATTACCTCAGGCTGGGAAGGGGAATAAAGAGAAATCTGTAACATAATTAGGAATGACATAGTCCACCTTTCCTTCCTAATTCCCCCAGTCCACCCACCTCTTCAGGATCCTCACCTAACTTTAATTCAGCTGCAGGGCTTTGTCAGCTCCAAAGGACAAGCTTCAGTTCCTTTGACTAACATGCTGGGTCCTTCATGCAGGAGACCTGCTGTACCAGCCTTTGTTCCATTACATCCTGGCGGCATGTGGAGGGGGTGCAGTAGTCCTGGCTGTCATCGCGTCCCTGATAACATGCTGCTGCCTGAAAAGCAAACAGCAGTTCATTCCAGTGCCTTCAGGTGCGTGGGGATTTCTCTGTTTCCTAGTGGGGTGAGAAGAGTCTATCCTAGGACAGTCTAAACACAGCTCCCTTTCCCACCTTGCTGGGGTTGGTGCAGCTTCTCTACAGGTCCCGACTGGACTTTGTAGACCGTCTTGTTTTCCTTCCATCCCTGCTCTTGCCCCAGTAAAGGTGAGCTTTGTAAGAACCTGCTCCTTGCTGGGGAAATATCTCCTGCTGGTGGGTTCCTGAAGGAACAATTTTGTTTTCCCCTCAGGAGCTATTTGTGCTGAAAACATCGGAGGGGAGGGGGCAGGAAGCACTGTGGCTCTGTCTGGACCTGATCCTGAGAGATGCTGACTGAGGTCTATAAAATCATGAGTGGTGCTCTGAGGTCAGACAAGGGGTGAAAGTAACTTCAATTTCTTACAGGTACTCTTATACTGCAGCCCCACCCCCCTTGGGAAGGGGGCTCAGGGCAGAAGGCCGAGGGGTGCAATACAACAGTACCTGTAAAAAATGTAAATGTGAGACGGAGTGCGGAGAGCTCAGAGCAGGAGGTTGGCAGAGGTAGGGGGGCACAGGGCAGGGGTGGGGTTATTAGGGGCTCAGAGCACTGAGGGGAGGTTCAGGAGTTGGGGCACAAGGTTGGGATGGGGGGGGGGAGAGCCTCAAGGCAGGAGGGGAGGTTGGGGCTGGGAGTGTGGCCACCATGCTGCTCGGCCACTGTATACCCAGGGCTGGCAAAGGTGCAGTGACCGTGCTGCCTCGCCACCCAAGCTGTGGGGCTGGATCCTGGGTGTGCTGTGTTCACATTGCCCAGGGACTATGGGTGCTGGCTTAGACCCACTGAGGCTGGGGCCTTGCCTCCCACCTCCACCCCTACCCATCTGGTACTGGGGCCAAGGGCCATGGGGGAGTAGAGGAGTGATTTGGGTTTCTGTGCCGGTGCAGGGTAGAAGTGGAGGGAGGGAGGGAGCCAGAAGGGGAGGTCTGGGCTTGGGGCCAAGGGCCATGGGGGAGCAGGGGAGTGATTTGGGTTTCTGTGCCAGTGCAGGGTAGAAGTGGAGGGAGGAGGGAGCCAGAAGGGGAGGTCTGGGCTGCCCATCTCCAGCACCAGCATGGGAGTCTTACTTGTGTACCATGCCTGGAAACATCCAGAGCCCTGCCCCCGCTGGCCACTCTCTTACCAGTGTGCCTCACTGGGATGCCCCAGCTTACTTTTGTGGAAGGGGTTCAGTATCCCTGGCTGTCATCACATCCCTGATAACATGCTGCTGCCTGAACAGCAAACAGCAGTTCGTTCTGGTGCCTTCAGGTGCGTGGGAATTTCTCTGCTTCCTAGTGGGTCACTTTGGGTCAGACATAGCCATGACACCTCCAGTGACAATCCTGCCAACTCTCCCAGCTTGGCACATGGATAGTGTGCCAGCACCTTGTATCGGTCTGCTCTGGGACTGGAGCCAGGGCGATGTGAGATGGAGACCGAGGTGAGTGTGAAAAGCCAGGCTGCACATGGAATATTCCCAGAGTCTATGCAGGGTGGGGCCAGGGTCCTGGCTCCTTGCAATCTTTCATCTGCTTTCCCACAGAGGAGGAAAAGGAAGAGGGAATGGCGATGTCAGTCATCTCCAAAGAGGATACAAAGAGCCCCCCAAATGGAGACCACCATGAGATGCCATCTGCCTCAGAGGACAGCCCCCCAAAACCTGGTTGGTACTGAGACTTGGGTTGTAAATGCCTGATCAATAATTCATTTAGGAAACTGGAGGAGGATAAAATCGGTGCATGCTATTGAGAGTGGAAAGGGTTGGCTGGACAGTCTAGCGATAAACCAGAAAGGATATGCTGCATGGCCACTGGCAAGGCAGGCTTCCAAGCACTGTGTGCTGTCAGTATCTCCTTAAGCCACCACAGCACACACCTTTGTCAGCTCTTGGTGCATTGTGGCCTTGCAACTTTAATGCCTAAGAAGTTGCCCCACTAATGTGCCTCCTGCAGTGGGCAGAAAATGGCATTTTACCTTCTGCTTACTAAAAATAGCTTTTAAAAAAACAGAATTGCAATTTTACTGTAATTTTAGTTCCCCACGCTGCAAAGCTGGTACATTGTATAAGCTGGAGTCACTAACATTGACCCTGATTCTTTAAATCATTCTTATTCAACACAATGCTTAAAAAATGTGCTAATTCAGAAACACATGATTAGGAGGCTAGAGCACTTGACCTATGAGGAGAGGCTGAGGGATTTGGGCTTATTTAGTCTGCAGAAGTGAAGAGTGAGGGGGGATGTGATAGCAGCCTTCAACTTCCTGAAGGGAGGTTCCAAAGAGAATGGAGAGAGGCTGTTCTCAGTAATGACAAATGGCAGAACAAGGAGCAATGGTCTCAAGTTACAGTGGGGGAGGTCTAGATTGGATATTAGGAAAAACTATTTCACTAGGAGGGTGGTGAAGCACTGGAATGGGTTACCTAGGAAGAAGGTGGTGAAATCTCCATCCCTAGAGGTTTTTAAGTCTTGGCTGGAGTAATTTAGTTGGGGTTGATCTTATTTTGGGCAGAGGGCTGGACTTGATGATCTCCTGAGGTGTCTTCCAGCCCTACGATTCTATGATTCTATGATACATACTTAAATCCCATTCAGGTCAGTGGTACCTGAGCATGTGCTGTGTTGCTGTGTTGAATTGGGTCATGAGGAGTAATATATTCACATTTAAATCTACCAAAGAAATCAGGAATAGAAAATATGGCATATGTGTAATGTGGTCAGGTTAGTGTGGTGGTAAAAACTGGTTTCTTAATCTTCTACTGAAGTACTTGATGCATTACATTCATTTTTTTGCATTTACTTTTTCAGATTTTTAAATTACTAACCAATATTAACTGAAGCTGCCTTAGCTGGGACACTTCTAAGTGAGGCTTTCCTTACCTCAGGCATCTGTATCCACTGCCTCATTTTAATTGTTCTTTACTGAAGACAGCCTTAGTTGAGAAGCTTCAGGGGGTAGCCGAGATAGCCTGTACAGGCTAAAACAACAAAAGGTCTGGTAGCACTTTATAGACTAACAAAACATGTAGATGGCATCATGAGCTTTCCGGGGCATAACCCACTTCTTCAGCTGACCGGAGTTTTGAGTTTAGGATGTGCAGACCCAAAATAAATAGGAGGGGAGGAGGAGAGAAAAAAAGGAGGGGGGTGGGAGACAGGAAGCAGAGGGTATGGAAAATCAAAGGAAAAAACAGGAAGGTAGACAGGGGAGTCAATAAGTATCTGAAGATTGTAGAAAAGTCTTTTCTCTCTTACAGACAAGCCCCCAATCTGAAACGACTACTTTCCGGTAACCATGCTACACAACCACATCATAGGCATCCCAGAACCCAGCCCTGCAACCAAATGCAATGCCAACTCTGATCCCGGAACCCAGCCCTGCAACCAAATGCAATGCCAACTCTGGCCACATATTTATACTGGCAAATTTATCACTGGAGCCAACAACAGAAGCTACCAAATCAAAAGGTCATTTGACAGCACATCCAGTAATTTGATCTATGCCATCAAATGCCAGCAATGCCCCACTGCTATATATATTGGACAAACTGGACAGTGCCTATGGGAAAGAATCAATGGACACAAATCAAATATACGTAAAGGGAACATACAGAAACGTGTTGGGGAACACTTTAATCTTCCCAATCACTGTTTAAAAGATCTTTAAGTGTTGGGTCTTGTCACAAACCAATTGTACTAGCCAGAAACACAGAGAAGCATTGGAATTAGAATTCATCCTCAAATTCAATTCTCATGCTAATGGATTCAATTGTGATGAAGGATGGTTGGGACACTATCAACCTAACATTAAATGAAGGTGCGAACAGCTCTTTGTATAGATTCCTATGTCAGGAAGGATACTATCTATTGACTTTGATTCTTATCTGCTTCATTTTAACTACCCAATCTTTAGATACTTACTGACTCCCAGCTCTACCTTCCTGTTTTTCCTTTGATTTTCCATACCCTCTGCTCCCTATCTCCCACCCACCTCCTTTTTTTCCCCTCTCCCCCTTCTCTCCTATTTATTTTGGGTCTGCACATCCTAAACTCAAAACTTTGGTCATCTGAAGAGGTGGGCTGTGCCCACGAAAGCTCATGATACCATCTACATATTTTGTTAGTCTATAAAGTGCTACCAGACCATTTGTAGCCTTAGTTGAGTCATTTGGACATAAGCTTTTGTGAACAAAGCAAAGTAAGTCTTTGCCCATAAAAGCTCATGTCCAAATAAATCTGTTAGGCTTTAAAGTGCCATAGGCCTCCTTGTTGTTTCTGCAGATACAGACTAACACGGCTACCCCTTTGGTCCTTAACTGAGTTATCCATAATCTACCATTGGTTCAATCATCCTTAATCAAAATTGCATGCCCTATGTCTTCAGGGGTTATTGACAAGGGGTGCTACAAAAACGAAATCAAGGGTGTCTGATGAACAGAGCACCGGACTGAGACTACGGAAATACAGGTTTTGTTCTTAGCTGTGCCCTTGAGCTGCTGGGTGACCTTGAAACTGGCCTCCTTTGTAAGGTGCTCTGCAGTTCACACTCTCTGCTGATGCAAATCAGCATGTTAGAGGTCAGAGCCATTGTTAATGCACATGTGCAACCACTTCTGCTTTAATGATCCAACCTTTTACTGAACTGAGCTGATTTTCTTCCCATTTAAAATCCTTCCTTTTTGTTACAGAGGCCTATAAAACAAGGTAGCTACCGTCTACACTGGCATGATTTCCCGAAAATGCTTTTAACGGAAAAGTTTTCCGTTAAAAGCATTTTCGGAAAAGCACGTCTAGATTGGCAGAATGCTTTTCCGCAAAAGCACTTTTTGCGGAAAAGCGTCCGTGGCCAATCTAGACGCAGTTTTCTGCAAAAAAGCCCCGATCGCCATTTTCGCAATCGTGGCTTTTTTGCGGAAAACAGTACTATGCTGTCTACACTGGCCCTTTTGCGCAAAAGTCTTTCGGAAAAAGACTTTTGCCCGAATGGGAGCAGCATAGTATTTCCGCAAGAACACTGACGATCTTACATGAGATCTTCAGTGTTCTTGTGGAAATTCAAGCGGCCAGTGTAGACAGCTGGCAAGTTTTTCCGCAAAATCAGATGATTTCGTGGAAAAACTTGCCAGTCTAGACACAGCCGGAATGTTTAAGTTTTCTGGCAAAATACCAAGAACAACTGAGGTATGCATGTATTGCATTTCAATAAGTTTTCTGGCAACATACCAAGAACAACTGAGGTATGCATGTACTGCATTTCAATAGCAACCTGTAGAAGGATAGCTTGAACTGGCTTCTCTGATTTGGAAATGTCTAAAACTCATTTTGCTCTTACTTCATAAATAAATTGCATTTTGGGATTTTAGGCATAGAAAATGGCAGCCCCAAAGAATCTGGCTGAGAAAGTCATGATGAGCCACTGAAAAATGAGGGTTAGAAAGGAAACTGAGCCTTAACTATAGCTTCTTCTGTCACAGAAGCCATAATAAATTAGTTTTAGCTTGTATGGCAACTTACAAATATATTGTATCCCTTAAAATGCTTGGTAGAATTAAAAAAAATTACAGAACAAAATAGTACAATAATAATAGAGGAGGTTAGTTAAATGTAAAGGTCTACAGAAACGGAGAATTGACTATGATTTGGATCAGAGATTTGAAAATATGCAGACAATTATCAAGTCAGAGAGAGATGGGAAGTACTTGTCTCAAAGCAATAGTTGCCAGATTGAACTGAAGGCCAGAGAGGAAGCCAGTTCTGGGTGTGAAGAAACTGAACAGAAGATGGCACTAGAGAAAAATGTGCTCTGGGATGTTGTCTGTGGCAAACCCACAGTGGTATTTAAAGACAAGGGAGGTCATTTTTTTCAACTGGATCCTGAACTGAAGGAGAGTCGGTAGACCTGTTTGCAGCAGGCTGATGCAATTGTGCTTCATTGTGCCTGTCAGCGGGTGAAAACGTGTGTGTGTGTGTGTGTGTGTGTGTGTGCGCGCGCGTGCATGCGCGCGTGTGCGTGCTGGAGACCAGAGAGCTGGCACTGGGACAGGCTTTAGAGAAGGATATTGCGACTGTCAAGGCAAAAGCAGGTGAAGGTCTGAGGCTACATCTATACTATGAGTTTTTTTCTGGCAGAAAATATGCTGAGGGACTCATTAGCATAATTTGCTATCTCATTAGCATTTTTTCTACCGTTTCTTTTTGCTCAAGGGGTTTTTTCACAAAAAGAAGCAACGTGGACTTTTTTTTGCCCAAAAACCCCCTTCCGCGCAAGATTCTTATACCTGTCCCAAAGAGGGATAAGGATCTTGCGCAAAATGGGCGCAAAAACCCCCTTTCGCGCAAGATTCTTATACCTGTCTCAAAGAGGGATAAGGATCTTGCGCAAAATGGGGTTTTTGTGCAAAAAATGTAAAAAAAAGTCCACGCTGCTTCTTTTTGTGCAAAAACCCCTTGACAAAAAGAAATGGCAGAAAATATGTGAATGAGATGAGGGACTCATTAGCATAAGTTATCTCATTTACATATTTTCTGCCAAAAATCCTCATAGTGTAGACGAAGCCTGAGTGACGATCTTGGCAGAGGTGGACGTAAGACAATAGCAAATGTTCATAACCATTTCTCACTTGTTTTCCAGAAAGCGCAGAGACCTGTCAAGGCCTTGAGGAAGAGTACAAAGTAGAGGCAGAGTCTGAGGTGATGCCGGATCCAGAGGTGGTGGTTGACATCAACAATGAGGACATTTTGTGTAACACTTTCCCTGATCCTATTGATCCCTGACCAGACACACTCATTGTACCATCCTGGGGTCCCAGGGCAGCCCCTCTATGTTCCATGGTCTCATTCCATGTAAGAATTGGTCTGAAAAATAACTGAATTTAGAGGGGGAAAGTCCACATGCATGTAGATCACAGGCATGCAAACCTTGTAACAAAACAGCCTTGTGGCCACTCCATGGTACCATCATTAGCAATGGGCAAATGGGTTCCAATATAAATAAGACTCCCCCAACTCTGTGAAAATTTGCCCATTTATAAGATTGTACCTGAGCTATGATGCTGTTTTACAAGCTCTGAGATGAGCTGGGTCACTTCTTCCCTTTTACTCTTTCTGCCATTATTTTTCATGTCTTTGCTCTCTGAGATTCCTGGCTAGGCACCAGGATGACCATAACATTTCAATGACACACAAACCAGGATGTGTCAGAAATGTCCTGGGAAAGTCTATTCTCATGAGATTTCTAGCCACATTTTGCAGCCCCGAGAAATCACCAGAAGGCTGAAATAAACATTCATTGTGGTAGGCACTTATCTAACCCAAACATCCAAACTCGTTACATTTCACCCATAGCTAGTTATTATGGGATGCTAAGATTGAAGAACCAGCTGTGATGGCTGGACATCTTGGAAGAGGATGACTTTGGGTCTCCCAGTATATTTGTTGCTCAGTAATGAACAACAGGTGGTTGTGTGTTTGCCGTCAACTGAAGCTGATAGCTTGAGTGTGGGGTGAGTGATTTGTAGCAGATGTGTCACTAGGCTGCTTGTCTTTATCACAAGGTGTTTCATGGCATCTACTTGTGATTCTGAAAAAGAAGGGCTGATGTAAAGCTGGGATTGTGCCAGCCTGTATGCCTGAGGGTGTGACCAGCTGCAGTGTAATGGTCTGGCTACTGCAGGCTGCATAAGCTGATCCTCTGTGTGTGCTTAGCCTTTTTTGCCTCTGCGTTATCTGCCCAAACAGCTGTGGCTTAGAGCACTCCTTAAGTGGACTTATCCTGGAGCCTGCTCAATATTGTACCCATTTACTTTGCATAGAAGAGACTTGGAAGTGGAGTGGTATGGTTCCGACGGAGACTTGTTAGCAGGTTATGTAAAGGGGGTCTGAATTCAATTCAGTAGCAGGGGACTCTGCAGGCTAGGAGAAGAAAGCACGGGAAAAACTGCAGGGGAATCCAGGCCTGAACAAGCCCAGGGAACTGCTGGGTCGGGCTAAGCTGTGTGGGAATGGGGGGAGGGATGAGGGCCAGAAGGGGTTCCAGAATTCTCCCTCGCTTTGACAGCGCTGAGGAGACAAGGGTCAGTGTAAAGTCAGAGCAGGTGACGTGGCTCAGGACTGAGTTGCACTGGCAAAGGACTGAGAATGTTGTACTGTGGCTTTTCCTAGCGAATGCTGTTAACTCCTCCATTTCGTCATCTTTCACTCCCCTCTCCACCCAACCCGATGGAAACAGAACTGAGTAGTAGCTTGTACATGCTCTTGGATGCAGGCTGCAAGCGTCCAAGCAAGGAAAGAGTCCCTGTCTCCTGGGCGGGGAGGCAGAGAGCGGCACATGCTGACGGAAGGATCCCTTAGCGCGTTTGGACGGCGCAGCTGTCTCATGGTGATGCCACAGGGTAGTTTGTTCTTGTTCTGTTTTCTCTGGTTTTAGGACTCCATTTATAAGATTTTGCAGATTTAGTAGCTTGTGTGTGGGGGTTCTTAGGTGGAATAGTCCCCCATAGCATGTGACATTCATCTCAGTTGCTAGGAGAGCCCCACCCTTCAAGCTCTGGCTTTCTGTGATGTGAAGGGGTTGGCTCTGCAGTTTTTCTCAGGCTGTTAAGCCATCCCCTCCCAGTCAGAATGTCCCATTATGTGCATGTGGCTGTGGAAGGGGAAACTATATCCCATCCCTCCTGGGAACGTCCAGGGCGAAAGGGGGGACGTCCACGGACAGTGCTCTGGGGGGATCTGGGGAGGAGCATAGGGAGTTCAGTAGTTCCAAAGAAGTACCGGGTGCACTCAGGTCCGGGCTTTCCAACCTGTCTGCTGCACCTACAGCTGATACAGCTATAGGCAAACAGGGTGACATCAGCCTTGGGATAGTGCTTAAACCTGGGGCTCCACTTCACAGGCATAAATCTGTGATGTTTCTGCTACTGACGGCTTTCAGTGTTCCCTGTAAGTTGTGTGCTTGTGCGGCCGCTTAGGAGCTAATTAGCAGAGGGTTTTTTTGTTGTTGTTGTTTCTATTGGTGGTGCACATTCACACATTCCTTGTTGCACATACAAAATTATTCTGCACTTGGATGGAAAAAATTCACCCATGAGAAGATTAGAGGGATCATTGGTCTCTGTCAAAGTCTGGACCTGGATTGATTTTTTTTTTTCCCCCGGTATCCAGGAAACATGGGGAATTGAGGCTTCTGTTCTGTAGAACTGGTAACCTAGCATGCAGTGTCTCTGTAAGCATCCTGTTCCCCATTCTTCCTTCTGGGCAGGCACCCACCAACAGACTCTTCCATGATACGCTCTCTGGTGAGAACATGCATGAGTAGGGTCCATCCTTTGAAGCTGTTGCTAGGAGTGCTGTTAGTTGTGGAGTCTTGTCCTGGCTCATGTGTTAGGAGGAGCTTGTTTGCTGAGGTGGGAGAAGATCCAGGAAAAGCTAAGATGTTAGCCAGGCTGGGATGCTCTGCAGAACACCCCATTTCTCCCTCTCTGCGCTTGCACAGCAATTGTCAAAGATTTATATTGCTGCAATATAAGGCCAAGAGGGGAATCGCTTTTGCTTTTTGCTTTTTTTTTATTGTACATGATTATGCTCAGCTGCAGGTTTTTTGATGATTTTGTTCCTAATAAAGAGATTATTTTATAACCTCTGGTGGGGAGTTCAAAGAGCTGTTCTTTGGCAAATTACCATGTATACTTGTCACAGCAGTTGCCAGCTGGCTGGTCTCTGACCAGCCTTGCTGATGTTTATACTGACTTTCTGGTTAAAAAATTGAATGTGCAGGGTTTTTTTTTGTTTTGTTTTTGTTTTTTCCCCCACTGTGGCCAACATTCCTGGTAAGCTGCGCACATGTATGCATTGATGCGTGGTGATCTCGTAACTACAATATGTGTCCTGTGTCTGGGAGCATGCTGGTACCCAGGTCCTGATTGTTGGGTCAAGTCCTCCACCTGCTGAAAACACATTGGCTCTTCGTGGAAGAGGACAGAATCAAGGCTCACCTGCTGAGATGAGGGACGCAAATGATCCTGAAAGGGGGTAGCGGCCTCCCTCATGGGCTCAGGTATGGGAAGTGCCCAGTGGCTGGTTCTTCTGCATCTTGAGTTGGCAACTCTACTTGTCACTGGAGGAACTGTCATTTCAAGACAGACCATCCTTTGCTGGAGATGAGAAAAGGAGCTTCCAAGTTTACACTGCTTTAGGACTGACCGGCCATGTTTGGGAAAGGTGAGGTTAGTGTCATTTTTAAACGACCAAATAGCAAGTTAAAGGGAAGAGGGGAAATGTGTAACTTTGTAGTGACTGGCTGGTGGGCAAAGAAGTCATGTGGCTTGAAGAACTACCAGTAATAACACTAATACTGAATAGTAATGTCTGTCTATGTAAGACTGTATAATATTCACATCCACACACAGTGCAAGTTAGGGGTGGGGAAGATATGGCCCATGGGCCACCCCATTGGAACCCTCCGGCATAGAGCAGCCAGGCGCTTCAGAACAACCCCACACCACTTGAAGCAGCTGGCTGCTCCCTGTGGCCCTTTGCTTCAGGCACCGGAGGAAGGGGGTGGCTTCATGGAAGCCATCCAATGGGAGCTGAGAGATTTTTCTGGGGGTGGGGGTAACGTGTGAAGCCTCTGCCCCTTCCCCCCCCCCCCCACCCGCGGGCGGCCACAAGCCTCTTCCCCTTCCTGGAGCAGAGAGCCATGATCTGGGGCGGCAGCAGGCAGGCAGCTGCTGGCTTAAGTAAGCGCCTCCCAGTTAGAGTCTCTGGTACCCCTGCCCATCCTGTCGCAACTCCCTGCCCCAGGTCACCATCCAAATCCTCTGCACCCTCCCTCCCCCAGGTCTCAACTCCCTCCCACACACTGCATCCCCTCCTAGACCCCTCCCCAGGCCAGAATCCTATACTGCAACCATAACCCGTCCTGAACCCTGCACCCCAAGCCCCTACCCTAGATTACAACTCCCTCCTTCACATAAACTCCCTCTCAGACCCCACACGCTCTTCTGCATCCCAATCCCCTACCACGAGCTTCTTTATGCACCCAACCTCTGTCCCAGACCCTACACTCCCATAGAAAAGTGAAGCCCTTGACCATTTACCAAAATCGTGGAGTGCCCCCCCCCCTAAAAAAATATTGCCCATAACTGGACTGTAAGTGTTCATTTACAGACATGCAGTTTTGCAAAATGACCACTAGAGGGCAGCAAATTGCTAACAAAAAACCCCAAAGTGGTACTTGGTTGTAGAGAGAAATGTAAGTGAGCAAAAGTCTGTTCTTTGCTAGCAAATAAAAAAAATCAAATATTGAACTGGCATATTTAGGCCAGGGGCCTGGCTATGGGTACTTCAGGGAGAGAAGCTTGGACAATTGTGTGAGCCCTTTTGGGATCAGACCCGGAGCCAGGAGTGCGGTATGTGGGAAGAACAAGCAGTAAAGCAATTCTCACACTGAGGTCAGTCACTGGCTGGTAATGAGGGGGCATCTGCAGTGTGATCTGGCATGGGGGGGGGGGAGAACAGGAGGAGAGTGAGGTGAGTATTGCATGACTTTGAGGGGCTTTTCAGCTGAAATGATGACGTGTGCATTGTTTGGCATGGTCAGACATTGGCATAGCCAGGTTTAAACTAGGGATGTAATAGTGTAGCTGGTCAAACGATTAACTGACTTATCGGTTAACGGTATCGGCTCTGCATTTAAAGTGTTTTTGGGGCTGGAGCGCAAGCATGCTAGCTCAGCCCCGGCTTGTGCCAGGTTCAACAGTACCCCTGCTGCAGAGCCACACTGGGGGTAGCTGTAGGACCTGGCATGAGCTGAGACAAAGTGCTTGCATGCTGGCTCTCAAGCTCTTTAAATGCAGAGCTGCTTATCGGTTAATTGTGTATCCGACACAATTGTAGTTGACTATATGATTATCGAATTACATGCTTCCTAATATCCCTAGTTTAAATAGCACCTTATCGCCATCCCTGCTAAAGTGTCACTAAGAGACAATTCTGCTGATCCTATGGGCTCTGGGCAATGAAACCTCTGATAAGCATGGGAGCCTGAGAATGGCAGCCTGGCACAGCTGGCACAGGAGGTGAGGGGTAGCCTGCAATGGCACCTGGAGCACCCTTTCCTCTCAGAGGACATGACAGACAGAGAAGAATCAGATATGGTAACAGCTGATGAATCAATATCTTGCCCACAGCTCTACAACTGGTGGGGTGGGTGCCTGCTAGGCTGGGTTGATGCAATACCCTGGAGGGCTTTCATACATTTCCCTAGAGGTGTGACGTATACACCAGAAAATCCCTAAGCCCCGGCGTCTCTGGCGGAAGAGATGGGGCTGAGGATATCCAGTCCTTAGTGCTGCCCAGAGCCCACCACAATCCCCCAGTGACCACTACAGTGAAGGCCAGGAGCCCTGGGCCCTTTTGAATCTGTGGGCTCTGGAGCAACTGTCCCCTTTACCCCTTCCCCCCCCCCCCCCCGCCCCCCAAATCTGTCCAATCTTGCGGGGGGTACAAGGATGGATCACCAGGGTTGTCCCCCCTTTGCGGGGGGAGGGTAAGTGAGAGGGAGCTGAACTCTAGCTGAGAGCCATGATTGCCAACCCAGATCTAGATCATCCCTGATAGATGTCTATCAAATCTGACATTAAATATCTCCAGTGCTGGAAATTCCACAACCTCCCTGGGCCATTTATTCCAGTGCTTAACCACCCTGACAGTTAGGAGTTTTTCCTAATGTCCAACTGTCACGGGTTGGGCCCCCCCTCAGGCTTACAGCCCTGTCATCATTGGGGTTGCCTGCCCACGCACCTTCCCCCCACCCGTGTTTCCCTAAGGTCGGTTACGAGTTTCACGTAAAGTCCGTGGCCCGACTAGGAGTCCACTGGGTCCGTGACTCCCTGGTTGTTAGTGATCTGATGCGAGGGAAGAGGGGGACTCGGGCCCGCACTCACTCCGGGTCCTGACCCAGGACCCTTGGTCTCGTTCCTCCCTCGGCGGGTAGGGTCGCCTCCCACGCCGCTGGTTGCCGCTCCAACTACACCTGGCTGGTCTCCCTCTGCCGGAGCAAGTCTCTCCCCTTCTGCCCTTTCCGGGCGTTTTTTGAAGGGCCCGCCTAGCGTGGCCCCGCCCCTCGCTCCTGGGTGCTGGCTAATGACGTCTTTGCTGGGGGGTCCCTCGCCGATGACGTCTAGACCCCCGGCCACCCCCAGTGCAGGCGGGGCACATGAGCCAGGGTGCCGCACGCATGTGGCCGCTTCCCCGGCTCCTGTTGCCTTCTGCCGCTGTGGCTGGTCCCACGACGTCCTCGCTGGCACCTCCCTTGCCCCTCGTGGGCCTGGGAGTGCAGGGTGCCGTGAGCTCCTGGGTGGCAGGAACCGGCGCCCCGTCATGCTCCCACTCAGGAATAAGCCCTCTTGTGCAACTGTTCTTGCGTAAGAGGCCAGTGTAGACAGGCAACATGAATTACTTGTGCAAGAAAGCCCTATGGTTAAAATGGCCATCAGAGCTTTCTTGTGGAAGAGAGCGTCTACACTGGCAAGGATGCTCTTGCGTAAAAGCACATCTCTTGCGCAAAGGCACATGCCAGTGTAGACGCTCTGTTCTGGAAGAGTTTTTGCACAAGAACTCTTCCGCAAAAGAGTTCTTGTGCAAAATCATGCCAGTATAGACATAGCCTCCGGTTTTTGACAGCACAGTTCCTCAGAATTACACTGACACCCCACACCAAGGAAGGCTTCTGATATCATCAACTAACAGAAACTGTGGGGTGTCAGTGTTCAGAAAGATGGGTGACTTTGCTCTTTTCCATCTCCTAAGAAAGGCCAGGCCATGGCTGCTGTGTTTGTAAACCTGGGGGCATAATTGTCTCTGCTAAGCAGGGTAAGGAGTGATGAGTACTTGGTGAGGGGTGGGGGACTTCTAAGAAAAGCTCATGGTAAGTTCAGAATGTGGTATTCAGGTGACAATCTCCATTCTGCCACAGGGTGGCTGGAGTGCGCCAGCATGGTGCTAAAAACTCTGTGCTGCTGGAGGCTCTGACTTTCATAAAACATAAAAACAAGCCATTGACTTTTCATGATCTCCAGCCCCTGAGATTGATGCAGCCGTACATATTCTCTGTAAGACTATGGCCAGTTCCTCGGGATGTTATCCACAGACTCCTGGGCACATTCCAACATAGGTCATTCCATCCTGTTTCCCCAAATGCCCCAGGAATACTGAAGCCATAACTTGCTGTGTCATGGTGCGTTCCAGTTGCTCTTTGCCATGCCACATTTCAGTGTGGCTGAAATTTCAGTGGTAGGCAAGGCAGATCCTATGGGGAGACTGATGTGTGTCAGGTGCCTTGGACCCCATCAGTGTTAAGTTACTTGTGAAGTAGAAATTAACACTGTTTGCCTGAGATGAGACTTGGAATTTTTATTCAGAATTTCTGCCTCCCCTTATAAGAGCTGCCTGCGCCTCAGTCACCCAGCAGTTGCCAGGAAAGGAATATCCTCTTCTAGTTATTGGATAAATGAGCTGTGTTCACCTGAGCCCTGTTCTGTTGCCAACAGATGTGATGAGAAGCAGGACAGGCTGGACAGCTGAAGTA